TGCTGGCCTTGCCCCCTGGCTCCATCCCCTCTGTTATGGTGGGGCTCCAGTCCCTGCCATCCCCCTCTGCCTCCAAGGACCGGGGTGGGGGAGGGCGGCCTCCGGCCCCGTAGTCCCACAAAAACTCTGGCCCCTCAGTCCCCATTGTCATGGCAGTGCTGCGCCATCTGTCCTGTCCATCTAGAGCACTCTGACTGGCTACTGAAATGGCCAGAGTGCAGATAAAGTGTTATGGACAGACAGACAGACTACAGATTTTATAATCTTAGAATTTTTCCTATATCTAGTTGCTATCTTTACTTTGCCGTTGCCGCTTAGCTATTGTGAAATCATGGCTGCTTTAGCCATCAGATAATATCTTAAAGAAATCCCACCTGTAATTCACTTGTTTTGGCCAAGCAAATACATTCTATCGTCTTTCTCACTCTTTAACCAGAATTTTGTATTTAACAAATCAAATTATCAGTTTCTTGTCTATAAATGGAATTTAGTTGTTTTTTACACCATGAGTTTTATCAACTGCTTCATGGAACTGATTTTCTATTTTAAACTTAATTTTGTCATCCTCTACTCACTGACTCATGGTCTCCCCTGTGACGTTTACAATAAGTAGTAATTGGCAATTTTTCTGCCTATTTTGAAGATCACAAGTTTTAGACTCCCTACTCTGCCTTCCCCCTCCCCCCCATAAAAGAATTAACATTCCACAACTCTAATTGTAAACTTTTTGCTATTTTTTTTTACTATATAACTGAAAAAGAAAAAAAGGAAAAATGTATCTAATAAAGTGGACTTTCAAAGCGGAGACCTAGTGTACTTGGTCAAAATGTCTTTAAGTCAGATAATTTCATGTTTTGTCACAAGACCGGTTGAAATATCAAGTCTAGTAAGATCAAACTCTCTGGAGATCTGGTTAGTTAATTTTCTCATTGTCCTGCAGAGAGAGAACTCAAAGTATAACTCATTCACTAGCAAACTTTGGCAATAGGAAAAAATTTCATCAAGGGCTCCAGTGATTTATCTTTTGTTATGAGCTTCAGAAATGGCAAATACTTGCTTACTAGGCCTGTGCAAAGCAGCTAGGATTCGCTTTGGATTCATCCAATTCGGGGGACACTGATTCGATTCAGTGATGTGAATCGCTGTCCCAGATTGATTTGGTTGAATCTGATTTGGTGAATCAAACAGGTCTCAACACCGGCAATGGCTGCCCTGCCCAGGCCCAGCACTTAAAAAAAAAAAGTCCTGCACTCACTGGCTCCTGCTGGGGCTGGTGGGGGGAGATCCCTGCTGCCCTCCATTGCCCTGCACTGCATGGAAGGGGGGGAGGGGCTCTGCCACAAGCCCCCCCACCCAACCGCTCTCCCAGCCCTGTCAATGACTGCCTCGCCGGGCCTCAGTATCCTGGCTTTTTTTATAAAGTACCCTGCACTCACCAGCTGTTGTCAGGTTGGAGGGGAATGCCCCTCATTGTGTGTGGGGGCTCTGCCTCAAGCACCCAGAGGCCTCTGGCCACAGCAGCAGCCGCTGATGAATGCGGGGCTTTTTTGTCAAGTGCCAGGATGCTGGGGCTGGGTGGGTGGGGGATGGGGGCTTGTGGCAGAGGCCCCCACGCAGCACAGGGCAGTGGGGATTCCCACCCCCCTGGCAGGAGCTGGTGAGCGCAAGGCTTTTTTTGAAGAGCTGGGGCTGGGCAGAGCAGCCATTGATGGGGCTGGAAGAGTGGGCAAGAGTCAGGGGGGCTTAGGACAGTTGGGGGAGGAGGCAGGGGATGGGGCCTGGCAGGGGTTCCCCCAATGGTCCCTTTCCCCCTCCTTCAGCCCTCCCCCATCCCCTACTTACTGACACGGAGTCTGGGTCCAGCTCCCTGCAGTGGTGAGTGGAGACTGTCCGAATCTTTCTCACAATCTTTTCTGAATCAATTTGGACCTTTTTATTGGTCTCCTGATCCGATTCGGAGATTTGGCAGACAAATCGGGCCAAATCTACTCTGAATTGAATCAGCACCCAAAGCTTTGCACAGCCCTATCACTTACCTCTTTCCCCCTATTCTCCTGAATCTGCCATGGCACTTGTCCGTCTGGACCTTCTGAAAGGCCTAGAAAAGAAACTCTGCTCCCATGATTGGATTATAGAATGATCCGCTGATTTCTTTTCTCTGTACCGACTCTATTTGCTTGCAAGTCTCAGAAGTCGTCTTTATTTTACCGTCTTGCTGCCAGTGAATTGCTGTCTTTTATCTTTCAGATTCTTCTGAGGACTAAGCCTCCAGTGAGCCTATTTATGCTTGTCATAGACTTTCCAGTGCCCTTAAAAAGCTTGTGAGGCCAGGAAAATTCTGTTACTGAGATTGACATCTGTGCTACATGGACTTATTAAAGATGTTAAGAAAAAAATGTTTAAACTTTCAGGAAGTTTTCTTTAGGCTGTCTTGCAAAGTACTAAATGAAGGGAGGTTGGTATAGATAGCTTAGCTTTTAATTGTAAATTTGAATTTCAATTACAAATATGTATTGTATTCCAGTACTTTTAAACAAGGCTTGTGCTTTGTATTTCCAAAGATTAGTGTTTTTAAGAGCTATAATGGTACTGTAAGCCTAGCTTCTTGGGAAAGCTTAATTTGCTCAAACTTCACTGTATTGTATTGTAAGCAGTTTTGTGGAAGGAAGTGTGTTGACCTGAAAATCTAGGGACATTTCTCAGATTCATTTATACTTTTTGTCCAAGGAACTCTATCAAACTGTCTCTGTATACTCTTAGAAAATAATAGGGGGAAAAAGGTTTTCTCTGTACGATACTTTATGTATCATACTTTCTGAATAGGATGTTTACAATTGAGAGACAATTCTTTTATGGTCTAAGATTAAAAAGGAAAAGCAAGTTTGGAGTCAGATGGTTTGTGGAACAGAAAGAGGCACGGATCTTTTTTCTGTAACAGAGGCGAGGCACAGTTGCAGCAAATGTGGGTCCTGGCATCTGTTTTCATTGATTTTTCTGCTCTAGTTGTGCCAGTTGTGACCACAGCTAGTACGTGTTAGTTAAGTCTAATACAGCTTTTTATTAGACCTCAAAGCAGCAACAGAAATCAAAATGTTTATACTTTTTAATTTTAAATAACCAAGTAACCTATATCCTCCCAGAATAATGCTTGACTTGTTTATCGTTCTACAAAACCCGATACTGTAAGATACCAAAGCATTGAGAGCTAGTTCAGAATCTGGGTTGCAGGATAATTTCTCCCAGTAAAAGGCAAGAGGTGAAGGTAATGAAACGCTGTTGTTGGATATCTTCAAGGAGAGAGAATGAACCATTAAAATGAGGTAAATATCCAGATTGTTTTCATTCACTTCATTAGCGTCATAGTGTTGCAGCCTATGCAGAGCACAGTTCAGAAAACTAACCATTTGTACTGTATGTTATACCTTTATTAGACTTTTTCCCTTTCACAGGTTCTTGAATTTGTTAAATAGTAGTTCAGTTAAAAATTTTTCTCAGTTACGTTGAATATAAATTGTTTACTATTTTAAAGCATCCATCTCACACTATAAGTTTCCTTTAGAAGCTAAAAAACTATATGTAGATCACAAAGTAGAAGTCCCTGCTAACACATTGCACAGTGATCATATTCCAAAATATGGAAAACAACTTGAGCTTGTTATAGTACATGCTGTAAGTATGGTAAGAAAACAGGATTGTTTCAACACTTTTTATAAAAGTTTAGGTACATTTTTGGTGAAAAGGTTCCCATAAACACAATATCGTTGCGGGAATAAGAATGGTAAAAATGGGATTATTCTAATTCTTTCAGATTTGTAAAATATATGTAGACTATAATGAGGGATTTAAAATTCAGACCTTGCAATAAAGAGGAGAATGTTATATTTCTTATTTCTATATGTCTCTAGACTGGAAGAGAACTGAGAACTGGCTGAAGAAAAAACTTAACTTGTTGGGTAATAATGTGGTAGGTTCCAGATTCTATGGGAGAAAGTAGGAAACATGCTTTGTGTGTTTTTGTCAACATAACTTGAAACTGTTGGGATTTCATCTTTGTCCGATTTGTTAGAGCTGTCGCTAGATGCAGTAATGTGTACAGAACAATTTGTATTCCATACATCTACTAGTTGCTCTTGTTGGTTTTCTCTCTCAATAGTAGTTAGAAAATCTTTTAACACTTGCTTGAATATGTAGACTATTTCCCATGGTAAGACATCATTTTCTGCCAAAACTTCACGAAATCTAGAAACAAATGAGAATTGAAATCTGATTTCAGTGCTTGACTCTTCTATAAAGGTATTCCTGCTCTTGTTTCATAACCTGTGTTATAGTCGCATTTGCTCTTCTCATATAAGAGAGAAAGAAAAGCTCTTACAATGCATTTGGTTGCAAGGCAAGTGTTAAGAAGGATAGAAGTTTTTTTTTTTTGTGTTGAGCCATTTGGCTAAATTGATTTAAGATGACTTTTGCCCTCAGGTATTTCTGGGCTTAAAAAGGAGCATAAGTTTGCTTTTGGGTTTTCTACATAGTGCTACAAGGCATATATAATTACATAAAATATACTAATTAGGGGGGTTTATGAAATTCTCTTTCAACAAGGAAAAAAATTGATTTAAAACACCCTTCAGTTACATGAGCCAACTTTGAGAAACTTAATTTTAGTCTCTACAAATTCTGAGAAGTCTGACTTTGTTTATACAGTATTACATTGTTAACAATCCTGTGGTCGTCAGGTAAATGAGAGGAAAGCTGATAACGTTTAGGTATGGAAGTCTAAGTATTATAGATGCTTCTTGTTTTTCTTGTTTCATCTCAAAACACAGGGGTAGAAGCTGTTTTCAGTATTTCACATTATGAAATTTCAGGCTATTTCTAGAAGAGCTGTAGGACACTAAAGCTCTCCATTTAAATGCCCAGTCTGTTTGGTTTTGGGGGGAAAGGGGAGGTTGGAATCACAGCCAGACTTAATTAACTCTGAAGAAGAATAAGGGGGAAATTATTTTTTGCTGTTAAGTGAAAATTACAGTAATTGTAAGGAGAAATTACCTGCTGAGGACAGTTCCAGTTTGACAAGGTTGAATTTGGGAGCAAAGAGCTTCAAGCTGCCTTTGTTCAGTAGCTGGGATTGTGGCTTGAGGATTTTGATAGTTCTTCAGCCAGTTGTAATCCACGCTGGTTTTCTGGACTCTTTGTTCATTTTCGATTTCTTGCACTAATCTTTCACGCTCTTTCAGGTGCCATTTCAATTCCCTCAGCAGGGTCTTTGTCACTACTTCTGAGCCAGGGTATTGTGTAGGTTTGTAGGAATAGTTTTTGGGCCATTTCATCCAGCCAAAAAGTGGCATTTTTAAGCTATGAAGAACCATAATGTTTAATCGTCTCATAAACTGTAATGTTGGCCATTTAAGATATGAATGGAAAATCCAGAAAGTATTCAGTGTATTTATGATATAGTTGTGCATATGTTCAGTGGTAAAATATTTTGCTGTGCAACTTAATTCTCAAGTCCAAAATCAGATCTGACATACACTTAATGTTTTATAAAGATTGAAAGCCTGTTGTGGCACTTAATGTTTGTGTTTTATTGGATTAATTAAATCATACAAAATTATAATGGTATTTGAAAATACGTTGTTAGAGTAGAAAATATCCTTTGATAAATTGCCATGCTGAAATGCTGTAAGTATGCAACTAGCAAAATAAACTTTCCCATTGAAAAAAAATTCTCTAACAAGTAAACTATAGTTGATCAGTTTTTAGAGAGAGTGAATTTCTACATTTTCCATTCTTGAAAATTCTTATCCTGTTAATTTTTAATAGAAAATTACGCATTAGTCTCTGGAAGAACAGCATAGAAATCTAATGGAACTAGACTCCAAATTACAGATTTTTTTTGTGTGAGTGTATTTTATAATTATACTTGCTACAAAACAATATACAAATTTAAGTGAAATAACATCATACTGTACCTTTGTGCTTGTCTGTGTTGTAAATGAGTCTTCTTGAGTTGCAGGTTGTTTATTCCAGCATATCTTGTTTCCAGGCTGTTGTCACTGCTAAAAAAAGATGTTTTCTTCATTTACCTACTGAAACTTTACTTAGAAGAATAACTTTCTGAACTGAGGGGATCTTGAATTCTTTTGTTTCTAAGGGCATTTAATATTGTAGCATAAAGAAATCCTTTTAACCTAAGAAGTATTCCCAAGTACTTTCCATAAAGTCCATTAAAATCTACCTTTTGAATTGAGTTCCACCTATAGCAGCAATTAAAACAAAAAAGATGGTAACAATTTCAGATGTTTGTTGCTAAATCCATCCAAAGATATTGGTAGCGAGATGAATAATGATAGTCTGAAGCAGCTACAGATGTGCTCCTAGCTTAAGTTAAGACTGTCGCATGATGTGATGCTTGGCTGTGCATAGCTGTAGGTCACAGTTTAGTGCTGTATTTTTATGCCCGTAGAGATCTAAAAATAACTACGTTGCTTTTATTGTCTAACTAAACTTTCAGGCTATTTAAGATGTTAGAAGATTTTTCCTGTTGTTTGAGTGGGGGGAAATGGATCAGGCTTTTCTCTGTTAATTTTAAGTAGGTTACAATAATCCTTTTCTAGTGAGAGATGTTGTTAAAGTTCATTTTAGCAAAGGCGCAACAATAATGAGCTATTAATAAGGCTGTTGAGTGAAATTTGTGGCTATGTTAAATACTTTTCTTCCTAATGAAGATCATCCCTCTCATAGCATTAATTTGTTTCATTACAGTTCATAGCTGTTAGCATTTTTAATTGATATTTAATCTCATTTATTAAATGAGATTAAAGAAACAACTTTGCAGTGCCTACAGGATGTCATGAAAAAGGTATTAATCTAATTAAAGGGATGGAAGAATAGGATAAATAATAACAAAATAAGGTAAAACTGGTTTAAAAAAAGAATTTTAAGTCTTACCATAGACTACTTTTCTTTCAACTTGATGGTAAATCCTTGCTGATTTATTTTGGGGATATCCACTTTAAGATTAATTTTCGGGGATAGCATGGTGCATGCTAAAGGTCGCTGTAGCAGCCATTTTCCATTCCAGTTATCTGGTCTCTTCCTATTAATCTAAAGAGCAGGCATGATATATAAAATGCCTTCTGTTCAGCTCTCTGCTGTTTAAGTGACTATCTTTTCTCCTTTAAGGATTCTTCTTTCCTACTTTTTGTCTCCACTGTTAGGTTGAACTGTTGGGAGAACGGGTTGTGTAAACTGTTTTAGATGTCATGCAACATAAAGGATGACGTGAATGGCTGTTATTAAAGCTGATATTACTTATACATTGGAAAAATTCAGATGTCAGTATTAATCACCTTCAAGTGGAAGGTTTTCACAATGCATTTTACATGGTACTATAAAAAAGGAAAGGAGCTGGGCTTACAAAGACAGAACTGTCCTCACAAATTTTCAGATGAAATTAAAATGTTTCTTGCCACTTCTTTTCCAGTACAGTTAGAGTATTGCATCAGAAAGTAAACTGCTGTACAATATATGGATAATTTAATGCCTTTTAAAAAGCAAGAAGGTACATACTGGAAGGTACATCAATTTAAAAACATAATGAGCAGTCATGAAAATATTATATCTATAGTTGCTTGGTTGCATTAATTTTAAGGCAGTGGTTCTCAACCTTGTTAGAGGCAAGACACCGTTGGAAAATGCTGGCTTTTAAGTTTTACTTGTATTTTTCCATAGTTGGACAACTAGAGCAGTTTTTCTTTTGCACAGGACTCAGACCAAAACAGGTCAGAATGTTTTTAACACTATGGATTTCTGTTTGAAATCTCTGGGTTTATCTTGTGAATCATGTTTGCATACCTAACAGTTCTAACACTGCACGACACCCTGTGACACTTTTCAAAAGATCTCAAGGCACCCCAAGGTGCCACTGCACCATGGTTGAGCCATCACTGACTCAGACCATTAAAATATTAAGTAATTTTATATTAATGTAAAACTACAGGTACTTTTTTTTACTTTCGTAAGCAAATCCTTTCAATTTATTTTGAGTTACTGTTTGCTTCAGTGCCATCCTCCAGAAAGTTATACAGTAAAACTTCATGGGGTGCAAAACCGTTTCTCCTTAACATTAGTTTTGCCTTTTAATTTTGAGGGCTGCCTCTGATTCTTCTGTTGTTGGAAATAGGTGATTTGATTGCCTTCTCTGTACCATTGATCATCAACCTCTAGCATAAGAAAAGGGTCTTAGATTTGTTGAAATCATATTTGAATATGATTTTGCCACTTAGGCTCTTTCCTTGCTTCTGACGTTAAGAAATAGACACATGTATATAAAAAGTACCCTTAGTATTTGGAGGGTGGAAGTTGCTACCTCATAACCTATAATTTTGACTGTTTTTGTTGTCCTATTTTGAATTTTTTTGGTCACTTTTTAACACTTTTTAATAATGACCAGGGATCCTGGTTTTCTCTGATTTAAAAAAAAATTGCAAATTCTCTCATATAAACTCCCCTAATCTGTGATTAAAATGAAAGGCCACAATATATATGGGTATCAATTGAACACAATATTTTATTGATATATTTAAAATTGTAAAGCAATTTGGAAGCCTTCCAGTGCCTTAATCACTACAATAAATTCTAAATACCTATACATTTTGGTATTTGATTTTTGGGGTTTTTATCATGGAAAATCAGAGCTCCCCTGCCCTTGGACACAAGTCCAGGCCACTCGCTCCCAAGTCACAACCCCCCGACCCTGCTAATTCATAATCTTTTCTGACAGTTAAACTTATTAGTGTACATTCAGAGCATGTCTATATGTTCATTAATGCACAGTGGTTACTGCACATTTAATTTAGTACTAGTATAGCCAGATACTAAAGAAATGCACAATAACCAGTAGGGGTGCACTGATAAAGATTTTTTGGGCCGATACCGATAGCAAAATATTAATGAGCCGTATCGGCCGATACTGATCCGATTGCTGATATGAAGCCTGGCAGCTTGGAGAGCAGTGTCCAGCTGGTAAATCTGTGGTGGGGGGCGGGTAAGGGGTTAGGGAAAGGAAAGGGCATAGGGGGTGCAGATCAAGGTCCCTACGGTGAGGGAGGGAGCTGGGCTGGGGCCAAGACAGGCACTGCCCAGCTGGGGCGGGGTGCAGGATAGAGCCATGGGGCTTGTCCAGGGGGGTGGGGGGGGAGGCAGATCCTGCCACTGTGTGCAGCCCTTGGGGAGATATGGGGAGTGTGTGTCCTTCACATTTGTGTGTAGGGCAAGGATGGGCTGGGGCTGGGCTCTTCCTGGTGCGGGGGCTAGGCTGGGGCTCCTCTTGGGGCGGGTGATGACAGTGCTGTAGTGGGGGGGCTACAGGGTGGGCCACAGCCACTTGAGAATTGACCATAGACCCACCCCCCTCTGCCCAGTACCACCACTGCATAGCCTGCACATAGACCCGACCCAAACCTCCTCCTGGGAGAGCCTGGTGCTACCCCTGGTTCCAGCCGGTCGCAGCAGCCCACCCTTGCCCCACACAGATCCGGAGCCTACGTGGCTCCCCCAGGAGCGTGCATAGCAGCGGGGTCTGACTCCCCCCCTGCATCTCCTGGATGAGCCGCACGGCTCTGTCCTGGGCTGCACTCTGGCTGGGCAGTGCCTGCTGTGGCTCCAGCCCCACTCCCTCCCTCATTGCAGGGGCCT